ATAATCACTGTTATGTACACTACACAAACACATGTAAATCAGGACAAAAATATTTTTTGAAATCAAATCAATGAATGTTGTAGATATTCAATTTTTAGAATATAATTTGGTATTTTTCTGGTTCTGAGATGGCGGTGTCCCTTGCTGAAAGGAGTACTTCTGTGGGGCAAGAGGGAGGGACTTCTGGGGGCAAAGGTTTGGGAGTGGAACTTCCAGTCACAAGATGGCAACCAGAGGGTGGGGCACCTGTCAAGGGGCGGGGCTACCCATGCGGCCCTCGACAGCTCGTCGAAACTCAGTAAACGGCCCTCCGCCCGAAATAATTGCCTGCCCCTGTTGTAATCTATATTATTCGGTCCATTTTATTGATGTTGGGGCACAGAAGGCATCTGGGTCTGTTGGAAGCCCTGATTCCTTGGTGAACCTGGGAGTTAAGTAGCCTGTTGCTTGAGAAACACTGTTTGAGACTGAGGGGAAAGGGGTGCCTGTAAACCAGGACAGGTTTGTCCCATACCAAGACCCAGACTGTTTTTATTTTCCACTAAATCTTCTGAAAGCTTTCCTATTTAAGAGTTTAAATGAATAAAGTGAAAACTTTCTTGTACTTATACATTTTGGCACTAGAACAGTAACAACCACAAACTGCCTACATTTTAACTTATGGATTTGATATTGTGGTGACAGGACTTATTCACCCTCTGTAAAAGCTTAGCTATGTACCTGAGATTAGGTTAGTGATGACTTAAAGTTGCAGTGAAAAGGCTTCTTTTTCAGGTTGAATTTAAACCTTATTTATTTAGTCACTTAAGTACTTTTACAGCAGGCTGTTTTTATTACATAGGCTTATTCTTTTTGGAGAGTTGATACATTTATGTTCACGGGAGCAGATAATCTTTTCAGTTTAAAAAAAAAAAAAAAAAAAGGAAGAATTATGTCATTTTTCTGACTTTTTTTTAATGCCCCTGAATAAGCCTATAAGATGCCACCCTGCCCTGCCTTCTGCCTGACCTGAGACCAACACTGTTGATTACCCTTTTTCTTTTTGTAGGAACTTTTTCGGACCTTGGATGTTGAAGCAAAGAGCAAATGAAAATATATTTGCCCAAAGCTATGTATTTAGCAAGTCATGTGTATTTGGATTTGGAGCTTTTCCCCCTGTGACAAATTTTTGTGTGTATACACATGCAAGCAGTGTTCAAGCTTGTCTTGATATAGCAATGTACCGGATAGCACTATACCATGTAGCTAGTTGGTTTTCCAGATTACACTGAGAGAGGGCCTGAGGATTATTAAATAAAACCGTGCCACAATCCAAGTTTGGATTGGTCTACAACATGGTTTGGCAAGTATTGTTCTTTCACAGACATGGACGACTGGTGCCTCCTGAGTCTGGGGGGGCACCCGCAGAAGCTGGCGGCGTTGGCAGGAACGGGGCTGGCAGAAGCTGGTGGCAGAGACAGGGCTGGTTAGCACCCCCAGAAGCTGCCAGTGGTGTC